CTTTTGCCTTCTCTTCTGTACTGTTTTCGACTGATCTTGAGTGGTGGGAGGATCAACATCGGTGTCATCGCCACCGCCACCTTCTTCCGAAACACCATCATTCGGGGCATCACCGTTTGAGGTTGGCTTCACATAGCCAACATGATGTGGGCATCGGGTCCTATAGTGGCACCATTCACCGCAATTGCTACACTGTCGTGGTTCTCTTTTCTTCCTTTTAGATTTTTTAGCCCCCGAACCTTTAGCTTTGACTTGTAATGGATCCAATAAAATTTCATTCGCCTTCGGTCTATTAATGCCGGTTATGTCCACGTTGCCAGTGTCCACCATGTCCAACTTTTCACATAATGATTGAATTCCCTCACGAGCAATCTTGAAGCACTCACTAGATTTTGCCCCTTTTAACATTAGTTGTAAGATGTGTTGTTGAATAGTACCATACCTGATTGACACAAGATTTTATACAAAGTGAGTAAAATTAATGTTCACCTAGCTTCGAACCAATATTAAAAAAAATTAAAAGTGATAGTCATGGCAAACCTCAATGGGAAAAGTTGCGATTCATCTAGTCTGCCCGGTTCCTCCAAGCTCTCTAGTGTCTTCGGCTTCTTTGACCATCTTCGACGTACTAGGCCTTCAGGAAGTTCCAGTATGCTCTCTTCTTTCAGTACAAAAATCATATGACGACATGGTATTCCCATATAATTGTAGTGATTACAACTACATTCCATTGCAAAGGGTTCAACTGCGTACGTGACTTGAAAAACCTTATCGCTGCCAGACACCTTGACCTTGTACACATGCTCAATTTCCGATCGCTCTGTCTCCAACCTTATGCAACATGCCGACTTTTCAACCTCGTCTCTGAATAAGAAGAATGCGTTCTTTGTGAAAACCGCCGCTCCACTCTTCTGAAGTGAGACTAAGACATTGCTTGTGATGGTTCGTTCTCGATGAATGGATTCAAAATCAGCATGACGCTCATTCTCCCTCATATCCCTAGTCCAACGATCAAAGTGAATAAAGAACTCAAGGAGATTTTTATCCTTCTCGATATAATTGGCAAGTTGAGAGTTTAGTCCTTCACATCTTGATGTTGTACTCAAGCCTGCGAAGAACTTCGAACGCAAATATGCATACCCCCATTCATGTCTTTGGTCAAATAAATTGGAGACCCAATTGTTGTGCTGAAGGGAGCATTCCTCAACCACTGATTTCCACTTTTCTTCTAATTCTGAAGGTTCCCAGTCAGCTGACACAAAATGCTTCCATCGGGGCAAAAAAGTAGGATGATTCTTCACATTTCTGGTTATAGTCTTGTCTATATGCCAGGAACATAGACGATGTGTTGCATCGGGAAATACTTTCTGAATAGCATTACGCATTGCTCTATCCCCATCTGTAATAACAGTCTTGGGATCTACACCGCCTAGCCTTCTCTTCAAAGCTCCCAACACCCAAATATAATTGTCCTCTCTCTCGTTAGCCAAGAAAGCACATGCAAATACGCAAGTTTGCGAATGGTGGTTGACACCTAAAAAAGTTCAAACAAAGTTAGATTATGCAAACTTCTAGGGTTATTTTAGCATGCTCGGGATAATTCTATGTGTGAAGGAAAAGTACCTGAAAAAATCACGAGAGGCATCTGGTAAATGTTCCTTTTGTAAGTAGCATCGAATGACAGTAATTCTCCAAAGCATGCATAATCAGCAACAGAAATACTATCGGCCCAGAAAATGTTAATAAGCCGGTCGTCGTAATCCTTCTTTAGTTCAATAACGAAATGCTCGTCCGCGCTGCATTTAGCTTGCAGGTAGGCTAGGGCTGTTGCGGCATCACCTTCACTGATTTGTTCTTTCCTCTCTTTGTCCACATAATTATATGCATCCTTCCTCGTGTACCCCAAATTGTCGTAGCCTCCTGCTTCTGATTTGTTCTTTCCTCTCTTTGTCCACTGTACCTTGGCATGAAGCAGTTGACGATCATCCAATGGAGGAATCGAAGAGGATCTGGGAGGAAAGAAGCCTGGATGCGCCCATTCGTCAGTTTTTCCAGTTCAACTTCGAACTCAAAATCGTACAGCCGCCGAAGATCGCTTCTGCTATCATTGTGGTGTCCTGCGGCGGGGAGATCGAGGATCTCAGCAAACTGATGAGGCTGGAAGCAGGCTCTATAACCCAGGAAGACCGACACGAGATGAGAATCGGAGGGACCAGACAGCTCTAAATTGTGGTAGAACTTCCTCACCACATGCGGGCAGTAACTAGTGCTTCCTCGACTCCGGAGATCAAAGAACTTTTCCCAGCCAAGATTTTTAATTAACTGCTTCACTTCTTGAGGGAAAGGACTCAGGTGGATGAACTCATACTCGGCCACAATAGATGTCTTGCTCGTGAATGAAAGATAGTCCGCGAGACTTGGGGTGGATCGGCAGTCGTCGTTTGATAGAGTTAGTATGCCCATATCCGCAAACGATTTGCCTTTGTTTGCCATGGAGTCAGAGGAAGAAGGAACAAGGGAAGGTGAAGATGGAGGAAAGAGAGATTGTAGGTGTAAGAAAAAGTGATCGTGGGGGTTGAGTGTGGAGACGTGTGATGGAGACGGTTGAGTCTAGAATGTCAAGAGTTAGAAGATTTGGGAAGATATGTAGTAATGATGATGTTAACTCGTGTAGGTTAAACTAGGGTAACTAAAGCTAGTTAAACTAGGGTTGGCGCTGATACCGCATGAGAAAACTAATGGGCTCGCACGTTCCAGACCCACTTTTGAATATTGCATGGGTCATGTACAAGCCCACGTTTGAATGTTATTTAAAATCCTGCAAAAATCAATGATCAGACCCAGTCCAACTAGAATTAGTCCTAAACGCACCGTTAATACATAAACACAAACTAAGGAGACCTCTCCATCCGATTCGAATCAAATTATGTGTTCTTCATCTTCTTCCTCAGTCCTCTGGGCGAGACGAACACTACTTATTAGGAAACCTAAATTTCACCGAGAGATATAAGGTTCGAGAAAATCACAATAACGCTAAGACAAGATGACAAAGCACTAATGACATGAACCCTAGGGTTAGCAAACCTCTTTCAAGGGTTTTTTTTCAAATGAAATGTTTGATGAACACAATAATAGACATGGTCTCCGTAATCGTGTTAGAAAGAGATAGGCGAGGGGAAATACAATGGCGAAGAAGAAACAAGACAAATTTTTTTTGGGAAATTCAATCTATGTCGAATGTGGATGCAAGTAATTGGGATTCAAAAAGATGATTAAAAAAAGGGAGTTCAAATTGGATGGGGAGCTTCTCTTGGAACTGTGAAGGGGCGTCCCTCCAAGACGAGAGAGGGATCGTGTAATTGGTTAGGGAGACTGGAAATTGGTTTGGGCGGCAGTGGGTCTACCCAATTGGGTTTGCAGTCTTAATCCATTTAATTTAATCGGGGCAGTTAGTTGGACTAGGATGAAAACAAACTTAACGCGGCAGGAGCCTTTTTGTAATTTGTTTAGTTATTTAGTGGCGCAGTTAGGTTTAACAAACGTGAGCCGTGGAGATTGAAAATGAATGGTTAAGATCGGCCAAGGTACCCGTACCCGGATTTTGCCCTGGGCACCGTAGAAGTCACCATATATATATATATATATATATATATATATATATATATATATATATATATATAAGGTACCGCATACCTTGAGTATGAAAACGCTATCCAAATCTTGAATTGGCTAATCTTTTGGACATGATACTATACTCTAACCCTCAAAGATCAAAATCTAGGTCTTAATTCTCTAAATCTTATACCCCAAGATCAATTTAATTAGAAACAATAATCGACGGTTGTGATTCGTCCAAATATAGGCAAAAAATGAATGAACCATCTTAGGGTTTATAGTTTATGATTTAGATAATTAGGACATAGGGTTTACTCATTAAGGGTTAGGGTATAGTATCATGCCCAAACATCCTGCTAATTCGAGGTCTGGATAGCGTTTTCATACTCAAGGTATGCGGTACCCCGGATTTCACCCGGGGTACCGTAGAAGGCACCATATATATATATATATATATATATATATATGGGGAGTTCTACGGTACCCGGGTGAAATCAAATGAAATAGTTGTAAATGTGAATAGTCAAATTTCCCGAAACTCTTTGCAAAAATGAAGACCCTATTTAGTCCATTAGTTATGTTACTATTGCCAACCAATTTGTCTTATCATAGATTTATATTTTATATATATATATACCATATATATATATATATATGGTGGCTTCTATGGTACCCCGGGTGAAATCCAGGGTACCGCATACCTCGAGTATGGAAACTCTATCTAGACCTTGAATTAACAGGATTTTTGTGTCTAATATTATACCCTAACCCTTAATGAGTGAACCGTAGGTCATAATTATCTAAATCATAATCTATAAACCCTAAGATGGTGCATTCCTTTTTGTGCCTATATTTGGATGAATCATAACCGTCGATTATTGTTTCTAATTAAATTAATCTTGGAGTATAAGATTGTGAGAGTTAACACCTAGATTTTGATCTTTAAGTGTTAGAGTATAGTATCATGTCCGAAAGATCGGTCAATTCAAGGTCTAGATAGTGTTTTCATACTCAAGGTATGCGGTACCCCGGATTTCACCCAGGGTACCGTAGAACTCGCCATATATATATATATATATATATATATATATATATATATATATTATGATCATTAGTTTATATGTATTTTCTTATTAAATGAAATAGTTGTAAACATGAATAGTCAAATTTCCCGAAACTCTTTGCAAAAATGAAGACCCTATTTAGTATATTAGTTATGTTACCATTGCCAACCAATTTAGCTTATCATAGATTTATTGAACGGATCTTACGATTGAAACTATCACACAACAAGAATTTCTCTCACATGCATTGATTCACTCCTATAAGTAATCAAACCCAAAGCCTCGTATGGTGATTAAACTATGAAAGAATAAAAAATGTGGATGCATAATTGTTTTTTTGTTGTCCTCCTATCATTAACACTAACAACTTCTTTCATTGAAGCGAGTAGTAGTAGAAGCCATTGGTGGGATTTTAGGTTTAAAAAAACAACAGTGGTAGTGAGAAATGAGTTAGAAGGAGAGCGAGAACTGAGACTACATTGCAAGTCTGAAGAATACGATCTAGGACTCCAAGTTCTAAGACCACACCATAGTTTCAGTTGGAAATTTCGTCAAAACTTCTTTCGAACCACACAATTCTATTGCTCCATGGAGTGGGGAGAGGAAAAGGTGCATCGGTTTGACATCTACATCTATAGGAGGGATTATTCACGTTGTGAGAATTGCTTATGGATCGTCAAGCAGAACGGACCATGTTTTTATGACGAGGCATCTGGTGCTTATGATTTCTGTTATCCATGGTCCCTGAAAGCATAATGAAATAGGACTACAATAAGGGTTGGTTTTCAAAATAAGTTATTGTACATAGCCTTTTGGGAGTCTTTGAAAAAATAAAGGGTCTTATGTTTCTCTCATTTTATGTGCGAGGCAGTTTTGGATTGGGTTTATAGCACATTGACAATTAGTTCAATTTTCTATTGAATGTTACATACATTCTCTTACGTTTGGTTTTGATAGTTGTTATTCGTGATTATATATTATGAAGGATTTGGATTTTGTTATTGAATTGTTAGTTGGAATATTTGACATCAAATTACAGGTGTTAATATTCCATACCGACTATCATTACAAAAATTATACTCTTTTGGTAGTTTGGTTATTTGGTTTTATTTTGGTATTAGTGCTGTGTAAAAGGTATGCCTATGGTGACTTGCGAGTCACCATTACTTGAAAATACTACAACAAATTTGGGCTTTTGTGACAAAATGTAACTTATGTCACTTAGATTTTGTCACAACCGGTGTAATTTGACAAAAGTCAAATTCGTCTTATTTGGGATGCCTAATGTGACAATATATTATGTTGTCATTAGTGTTGGTCATAGTAGATAGATAATGTGACAAACTTTTGTGTCACATATGCTATTGTCAAAATAGGCGTCCCATATATGGATGTATGAGTGTAGCGTTCATCATATTATGTCTTCATAACATGTTTAAATGACAAACTATTTGGTCATAATAGGGATTATTATTCCCAACACGAGCGGAGAAAATGCAGGTTCGTCATAATATATGGGTTTCGTTTTTGTTATGTAAATGTAAATTGTCAAAATAACTATTTGGCCCCATTAACATATACTTTTTCGTTTTAGAGGGGTGAAAATTGGTGTATTGGCGGGCTGATTTTCAGTGTTGGGAAATTTTTCCTCTCCTCCCCTTCGTTAGACAGAAAAGTATCCTCTTCCTCCCCAATCGAAAAACCCTAAACTTCCTCTCCAAAACATAGCGGCCACTGTAAGTCTGCAACCTAGGGCACGAATAGCGCAAAATCGAAGGTTAAAATCCCTTCTTTTATTGTGCTTGTTCTTCTTCTTAATTTGCCCTCGAGCTGACCTCAGTTTGTTCAATACTTGTTGTTTCAAGTTTCGCGCACAAGGTGAAGGAGGATAGCGATTTTCAATATCAGCTAGATCATAGGCTTGTTTCCAGAGAAGTATTTCGCCGATAAGAACATTCCGGCTTTAGGTAATTGATCTCTCTCTCTCCCCCCCCCCCCATTTCCTGTCTCTGACTCTCTCCTCAACTATTCGTCGACGATTTCCCTCCCGCGATAGAGATGGCGGTTGCCGCTTACCGAACATTTCTAGATCCATGATAGAACCTGGGATTAGGGTCCTATCGAGAATTGGGGATTTAGGGATTAAGAACAGAATTAGGGATTTGAGATTGGGATTAGGAGAGGAAGAACAGACTAAGAATCGGCCGAAGCCTTTGATTTGGGACAAAGAGAAATTAGGAGATACGGGAAGCTTAGGGTTTGGGAGGATAATTCTTTAACTGATTTCTGCTTAATTGAACAAAAGACCCAAATTACATATATATAGCGAAAGACTGGAAAACCTAATAGACTATCCTAATATGACTCAAAGACTACTACCATATCTAGATAAATCCTAATATAGGAGATACGGGAAGCTTAGGGTTTCGGAGGATAATTCTTTAACTGATTTCTGCTTAATTGAACAAAAGACCCAAAGTACATATATATAGCGAAAGACTGGAAAACCTAACAGACTATCCTAATATGACTCAAAGACTACTATCATATCTAGATAAATCCTAATAATATTAATATTGATAATTATGGTTAACCTAAAAAGTAGGTTTCCATCATCCCCTTCCCCTTGAAAACCAACCTTGTCCTCAAGGTTGACCAACTCGACCCATTTCTTCACATCTACCGTGAGACCCACGCCCCTACTCCATTTCTTGCGCTTTCTTTTCTTCCAATCGTGCTCAACTACTCGAATGAATCTCACGCTCACATCTCTGACTCCAATGGCTTCATTCCTATCCACGTGGTTCATGTTACGTTCTCCATAGCCGAACAAACCTTTCTCTTCCTTTTCAAAATCCACGAAATAAGAATTAGGGAACTGTTCTTCTTTAATCTCCTCCTCACTAACTAGAGAAGACTCCACAAATTCCTCCATGGGCTTGGTGGTGAAAACAACCCATAACCTTTCCCCACCTTCTCTTCCTTCATCTTGGACTAGGTTGGTTCTCCTCTCCTTCTTAATTCCGTTTGGGCTTGCAAGCCCATCTGCCAACCACATAACTCCTTTCTTCTTTTCCCCCAGGCCCATCTCTTTTAACTCAGAGCCCACGTTGGGCCTAAATCCTCCTTTCTGATTTGGCCCAACACCATATAAGAGAGTACTTATTAAACAATCCTTGAGTGGCTCAAGCATTGGGCCCTTTAAAGCCCAACTCGGCTCAACACTCAACTCGGCCTGCTGCTCTTCTTGGTCCAATGAAAACCCAGCTCCCCTCTTCCCACGATCCATTGCGCGACCAGATGTGCGGCATAAGTCTACTCGGCCCCACGACCCAATGACCCGAACCACCTCTCGGCCCAACCATTCTGGCCGCTTGGAGGCGCGGCCTAGGGTTACTGGACTCGGAGAACCGTCGCCCTCCTCTCCACTTGGCCTCTGCTCTATTGCGCCCGCCACTAACGCCGTCTCCCTCGTCGGCACCTCCTTCTCCGTCGCCTCCTTTCCCAGCGACGCGAGTAGCAGCTTCCCGACGCCGATCTCCTTCTTCACTTCGTTCACCGGCAGCTCAACCCGGTGGGACGCCCAACGAGTTGCTGGCGTCTCCTCCTCATCAGCCGTCGCCGCCACCTTCTTCCCCGTTTCCTCTGGCTCCGGCGTACACCCCAGCAGCCGATCGGGAGACCCACTCTCCTCCGCCCTCCGCCTGACGTCGCAAAGGAAACGGACTCCCATCGCCGCGTCCCGCGCGCGAGTTGAAGCTCCGCCGTGTCCAGACAAAGACGCGCGGTCGTCACCAGCGCCTCAGCCCGCGACGCTCCCTCATGGCGCGCCATCGCCGCGAAAACGCCGCCTGCGTCGGCCTCGGTCCGCGACCGTCGCGACTCGCCATCAGCCCGCGCCTCCAGCTTCGCCTCGGTTTCTTCTTGACGGTCAACGCTGGCACCGCACTTCTTCAATCCCTTCTTCTTCTCCGACGGCGTGTTACCCTCCAGCAGCTTCCGCCTCTGTTTCCTCTTCTTCCTCTTCTTGAATTTCCAGCCCTTGATTGGAATTGGAGTCGTTCTAGGGGCAGTCTGAACCTTCTCAACAGCCCTCGATTGGAATTGTGCCATTCGGTCATCTTCTTTGTTGTGTTGTGCTGGAAGAATAGCCGCAGCGGCCGGATCGGTGAAGGGTGATGCCTTCGCAGCAGCTGGAACTTCAATATCAGCCGCGCCGAGTGGAGTTGATGGTTTGGTGATCGGAACTGTCGCTGCTGCTATCGACGTCCGTAGCGGTTGACCCTCGATGATGGTTGTGAGGATGCTTGGGACATCAGTGGTGGAAGCCAATTGAGGAGTTGCGCCGATTGAGCTGATTTCCACGGCGGCAGGAGCAAACTCCACAATAGCAGGAGTGTCTTCAATGGAGGCTGATGAATCCTTCGACATCGACTCTGGCTGGTTGCGGGTCGCGCGACGGCGGGCCGCATGGTGCTCGAGTTTGGCTCGAAGTTCTTTCAGGCTTGCTATCATATAGTCGTCGTGAGCTTCCCTCCTAGCTTCATATGCTTCCTTGCTAGCTTCATATGCTTCCCTACTAGCTTCATATTTTACTAGACTGGCTTGGAGAGCTTCAAACGTGTGATAGAGTTTCTGATAACAATTCCCTGGTGAAAGTTGTGATGAACTCAAATCTGTGACCATGGCTCTGATACCAATTGATAGAACCTTGGATTAGGGTCCTATCGAGAATTGGGGATTTAGGGATTAAGAACAGAATTAGGGATTTGAGATTGGGATTAGGAGAGGAAGAACAGACTAAGAATCGGCCGATGCCTTTGATTTGGGACGAAGAGAAATTAGGAGATACGGGAAGCTTAGGGTTTGGGAGGATAATTCTTTAACTGATTTCTGCTTAATTGAACAAAAGACCCAAAGTACATATATATAGCGAAAGACTGGAAAACCTAATAGACTATCCTAATATGACTCAAAGACTACTACCATATCTAGATAAATCCTAATAATATTAATATTAATAAATATGGTTAACCTAAAAAGTAGGTTTCCATCAATCCACTATTAAGATACCCCCTTTCAATGAAACCCAATCTCTCTCTCCTATTTCCTCCCTCTCTCTCTTTGCACGAGTGTTCGTCACGATTATTCCTTCCGCAATAGGGATTGACGTTGCCGGCCTGTTCTAGATCCATTCTTTCTCCGACATCCCATTTAGAATTATGGGTTTGCAAGAATAGTGCAACAGCTACCAGCCTACCACCCAGTCAGAATCTGTCGAGGAGTCTGCGCGAATCGGATTTCTAGACGCTAGTCGGCTCTAGCATCTCAGTGAGTCCCTATCTATATCTTGTTGTTAGTTTGTTTTTGGTTGTCCTTCTTTAGTGTTTCTTCTTCTATTGAGAAGCAATGAACTGGGCTCTGTTCCTATTGAATCTGAATGAGTTTAATGTTAGCAGGAAGTAGAAGCAACGTTACTTATAGTTTACCTTCTTAATTGTTGGTTCTGTGATGTGTTTTCAGTTGTTCGTTTCTGTCATTCTGTGGATGTTTAGCATGTGTTATGGGAGAGAAGGGTATGATGTTCAACAGTAGACTCTATGTACAAGGGGCATAATTTAATGGAGTACGATCTGTGGAAGTTGCTCTAATTTCTTGATTCTTTATTTTGTTTTGGTTCGTTGTTCCACCACTTGGGTGCTTAGAGAAAACATGAGAAGCAATGTATTCTACCTGGTTCTGTTATGTAATTTTAT